GAGCCCACCTAGTCATTTGTTTTGGCTAGAATTCAGGACACATTCTTCACGAAATTATGCACGTCTTTTTATTACTAAGGAAATATCTGTTTCTAAGCTAGGTACTAATACACACTATCGCCGTAGTTTGCCAGAAGCCAGGTGTTAAGGTGCTGGACTAAATTAGGATACATATTCATGTGACTGGGAGAAATTTCCCATACACACCACTGGTGTCACATCACTACTTACTCTGTCACGAGAAGTCTTCCTTTGAAGAGAAGTGATTTGAGTTGGAGTCCAGAAACTATGGCTTGGAGCGCTGCTTTTCCCTCTTGCCTCTGACAACTGTCTCTCTTTGCTTCTGCAGAGGAGCAAACACAGTTGGGCACCACACCACAAGTACCATTGGGATGGAATACTGTACATGTGTATTTGGTTTGTCTGTCTATGTTGGTTTTTTCAGGCTGTCCCACAAGCTCAACGCCAGCACAGGAACATAGCACCCACACTATAGCGTTCCTTTTACTATGTGCATAGTACTGTACTTGCAGTGTCAGCCTGCACACATACCTCTGAGGTAGCTTGCAGCTGATTAGTTGTCTTCTAAGTTGGTCCACTCCAGTTGCCTCACAGTCTCCTCTCCAGCTCTACTCTCTCCCTCAGCACGGAGACTAGATAACTGTACCAATGATCAAACGTACACACGTCTATCTTAGTTATAGCTAATACATACTTTACTACGTATCATGCATTCATTTAGCGATACTTTGCTACACTCTGCCAACATTCATGATGATATTCAGGTTTGTAGTACCATCGAAGGCTGATTTACACAAAAGTGGTGGACACCAATAAAATCACAACCACACAGACATTATGTCGCGATCCAACCAAATCACAGCTCACCATGCTCTGTAGGAGGAGATGTGCGTGTGACTCAGTCTGCAGCGAGCGTCTCGCAGTGCTGCCAGCGCTCCCTGACCTTGGCCAGGCCCACCTTCTCTGCAGGACTCTGTCTACCGTCTCTGTCGCTCCCTCTCCTTGGCCGCGAGACTGGAGCGAAGGGCCCACCACCATCCTCCGATCATTCTCCAACAGCTGACTGTAGTGCTCTGAACAGAGAGAGGACCTATATGATATGACTATGTACACAGTATGAAAAGCAGCAGTGGAATCATTCTCTCTGACATAATTGTAGTGGCGCGACAATCTGCTGTGATTTGTTAACACTACATAGGGGCTAAATTGAGAACGATGGAACTTACATAGGGCCCAGCAAAAGAATGCTTACATATTCCTTTTTGTACAGTGTGTGTTAATAAGAATATGTAGAATTTGATCACGAGCTGCTGAGATGGTCTACTCTGAGCTTCATGTATACTATTACCTCCTGACTTAAGTAGATGCAATGAGAACTACCTGTTCTCTGTTGTCAGCCTCCAGAGACTGCAGAGTGCCTGTACCCTGCCCAGCTCGGCATCTCTCTCCCCCTGGCTCCCCTGCCCTCCTCCCTCTCTTCCAGTCCCTCTCACACTCCTCCAGTCTCTGTCTCAGCGTCTCCCTCTCTGCCGCGTCGCACCCCTGGCCTCCTGGACTCTCCAGCTGCCCTGTACCTCTGACACCGCCAACCATCTCATCCTTGGTGCCCTCTCCACCTCCAACGCTTCCGGATACCTAACGACAATCCTGGTACTAACCACATGTAATACTAACTAGGGAGGTTGTACAATGTGTCGGATACCTATTTGAGGCAGCTACGATACTTACAGATTGCATGGGTGGGAACATTTTCGTAGGCAACCTACAAGTTTTATGCCCTAGTATATGCAGTCTAATATGCCTTAAAACCGGTAAAGGTTATTATCTAAGCTGGTGATAGCTAGGCAAACTTTCCTAGCCCTTACTATATTTCTGCCTCGATTCTGGTAAAAGAATTAACTTTTCATGCCCTAGTCATCTGTACATTGCCTTCATGTGGTAAGAGGTGTCAGTTTGACATTGCTGTTGGGAAGTAGAACATGTACCGCAGTGAAGCCAGTGTTGCCTGGTGTTGCAGGTAGTCTGCCCGTCGCTGTCCCATCTCTGACTGTGACTGAGTCAAGCTCATGAAGAGCTTTATCCAACAACTCTGCCACTTCTCTTCGAAGCTCTTAGCTCCTAGAAAAGAGAGAATCAGTTTTGTCTAGAGAGATGCACATTTGCCACACTGAGAACGTAGCGCATGGCAAATACAATATGCTATGATGTAAGGGTATAGAAATTTTCCAAGTAGGAAACGATGTTATACTACTGACTGATATCAGGCTAGACTATCCTCACACAGCTGAGGGGTTCTCAAAACCACACCATATTAGACTAGTGCTCGGACGTCAACCTGGTTGTAGAGGAGATGGTTTGAGTGGATCGCTCCAGAGAGCCCCTCGGCCTCCGGGTACTCGCCAGACGAGACTGGGCCTCCGCCAGGTCGAGGTCACCGATTTCAAGAGATCTGCTGAGACCTTTGACCTCTGTCTCCAGCTGCGAAACTGCGGCTAGCTTCTCTCTCTCCAACTGAGCACTTCGCGAGGACTCTGCCTCCAGAGATGCCCTTAAAAACAACACATGAACACACACTAGTCTATGCACTCAGCGGGCATGAAGGGACTGTCATCACTGATTTAGCTTTAGGTTTAGCTTAAGCAAAGAAGTAATTTAGGAAAGGAGAAAGGTTCAGCTTAGGATGGCTATTTCAGGGGAATGAAAGTTGTTGCGTTTAGCTCAGGTGGATAAAAATTCAGTAGAGTTTAGCTAGGTGGTATGGAACATAGATTAGGGGCTGACTAATTTTAGCCTTTTGCAACCCTCCTGATGATAGGCTATAAAGTAGCTAAGCCAAGGCTATTATATACAAAAGCTGACATGTGAGGACAAGCCACAGAATGTATAGTCTGGTGCACCTTTGTTTTGCATTGATTTCACTTTGCTGCTGTAATAGATGTTCTGCATCTCTTACTGCATGGAGAGATACACATGGTACGGTTCAGGGTACACCATGTTGTTCAAAAATTCACACTCACATTCGATTCTCAACTGCTCATTCTCTTCAAAGACTTTCTGAGTTTGAACTGATACACCTTCAGACTGTGGACATTATTATACACAACAGCAGTGGACAGTATAACAAAACATGTATAATTCATGTGCCAACAACTACGTAGGTCTCGAGGCAAAGGCAAAGGCAAACCAAACAACACGACGATACCCTGGTCAACTGAACTCGCACATATCCCATTCATTTCTCTTCGATAGCTTTTGTATGCATGTTGTTCATAACCTAAATCGCTGCTAACAACCCATATACTATAGTGATGTATACAGTTGAAGCACCTGTGTTGTAGTTGGGTCTGGAGTGAAGCATGGTGTCTCTGAGAGAGTCGTGTCTCTGGCCAGAGCTCTCTGGTCACCAGATATCAACTGAGTCAGTAGATCACTCACTGCTGACAACTGCAGACAGAGAGGTTAGCATAGTGCTCAATTCTTGAAGACAACATTTCAAACGATACAGATTATGTAGTGTGAGACCAAAGATAACTTTGTATGCAGAGTCCGACTAGTTGTGGCACTACTAGACATCACTCAAAACACGGAAAATACTATGGGGGATGACTTCAGAAATGGTAGCCAAGTACATAGCTACACTTTCAAATGAAAAGCACTAAAGTGCAAACCATCGGCGCACTAGACGCGCGCGATGTCTGCATTGCGCATGTGCGGGTCGGTAACCGCTAATTGATGGACTGGGCTATGTACTCGTGTCGTAGTCTCTAGCTAACTCTCTGAGTGTTTAGGTAGCGTCTTAGGCATAGCAATACTCGACATCTCGCCCTCTGTGGTGACTTCTGTTGCCTCCACAGCAAGCGAACAGGCGGAATGAGGCAAGCCAGTGGTAATTTGCATATTAGCTCTTTCGCTTTTGTTTCACGTCATAACTCTCGAACGCAGCAGTTTCAGGAAAACCCTACATATTGTTTCACTACACCCCGACGCTGAATACATGGTATAGTTTGTGGAGCGATTCATGGTGTCGAGGTTCGACGACGACAGACAGAGCAACTACGTAACCCTCGCTGCGCATGTGCTGCCAGAGGGTAATAACTTTTGCATGGTTGTTACATAGAGACCTGTTGGGGAAGTTGGTGGCGTTGCCCCTGGTCGAGAGAGGAGAGTACAACAGTCAGCTCCTGTACCAGTCTCTGAACTGCCCCCAGGACACCTACCATCTCATCCTCACCACGCTCACCAACCTATGTACATTCAGTGAGTAGATTGTAGACAGTACAAAGAGGGGGATATTATATACTAGTGTGCATACAATTGCACATCTGGCAAGAGTGTAACCTGTGTACAAGTCGCTTACATGATTGTGCGTGCAAAATGAAGTGCTCTGCTTACGTTTTTTACCATTTGTACTACGTAGAACATAGGGGCTCAACAATTGCAGAGGTATGTTTGTACATATCACTCCACTCACCCTCTCAGAGAGAGCTCCCACTACTTGACTGAGACTGTTGACTGCTGCAGTCAACTGCTCTACACTCAAATGAGGTAACTGACTGCAAAACCAATGGTAAACAGTAGTAAGAATTAAGCTACAGGCAATGAATTTTCTCACGCTTGCATGTTACACAATAATGCTGTGTGGCAGAGTACAGTATACGCTATGCATGGTGGGGTTATCCATAAACAGACTTGTTCTTGGAGAGTTGGTTGACAATGTGTGCCTCCTGGGACAGGACTGGGGCTAGATCTGCTATCCTCCTCAGAATAGACCTCGAACCACTCTCTTCCAGCAGCACTGAGAGCAAACATCACAGAGAGTTCAGTGTTTTTACGTGTTTGAGAATACACTTTGCCACACATTGAAAAGCAGGGTTTTCTAATGTCACACAAAAACTATCCATTGGATTCGTACCAAACCAAGACCAAAGGAACAGGAGATTAAAGAGCTACAAAATAGTACTAGCACTCCGCAATGGAGTAAAGGGTAATGAACATGCGTTCTCAACGTGAATCCACTATGTGTGCATTTGCTCAAGAAAATTCCTGTGCACAGGATAGGCAGTCTTACTTGTGCTAGTACTGGAGAGAAGGAGAGAGCTGATGAGCTGCTGAGTTGCTGCATACCCTCCTCCTTTCCACAGCCAACATCTCAGCCTACAGAATGAGACAAAAATATACGTGATACACCTACTCTACCCTAACTACCCATACCTACACTACCCTAACACTAACTCACCTCCTCATCCCTACCTACTTGTATACCATACGCTATATTGACGGTTATTGCTATAATATAGTGACAAGGTGCCTTGTGCACCTGTCACTGTCCTTGTAAAGACTAAGATTTGAATCACGAAATATGAAAAAAATATGACCAGAAAATTTTTGTGACTCAGAACACAAGTGAAAACAAGATGCTGCCTAACCTGACTGTTCCAGTGTGTGCTCTCCCGTCTCCATCTCCTGTCTCTCTAGACCTCAGCTGGGGCCCTGGTCTGCTGGAGAGCCTGTTCCTGGTGAGACCTAGCCAGTCGCAGTGCCTCCAGCTCTCGATCTGCAATCAATCAGCAGTCGTATTACCACATCAATGCTATCCTCTGCAGTTGAACCTATGATAAGGGAACCTCGGAGATAGCGATGACCTCTCTACAATGGACACTTGTTTTAAAACCAGTTCTACTTTAGCGAGGGTTGATGACACCAAGTCTTTTACAGCCTAGAACGTACTTCAGCGTGTATCTTCACCTTTGCTGGTGAGTGTGTCTCTGAGAAGAGTGATGCTGATCTCAAGAGATCTGGACACTCTTGCTGCTTGTAGCAACTCTCTCTGCAGCTTGGACACCTATAGCCATACATGTATACAACATCAACAACTCCCACATGCAAAGGCATAGCTTCGAAAATAATAAGTAGGTGTGTAATTTGGGGGACTCCCCCTTGGAGTTTAAGTGAAACTTTTAAATTCACACCAACATAGAATGTTCCCTTTCTCGTATTTTGCTATGTATACCCCCCTTGGATTAATGATAGCTTGCATGTTTCAACAACAAGGTGGAGGTAGAAGGAAGGACAAAAACAAGTCAACTACAACCAGGACCACTCTTTTCTTCCAAGGAAAAAGGATGAGCTGCCCTGGGTGGGATTCGAACCAACAACACTCTGATCGCTATGGCATTCTGATACATTCCACTGAGATGCATACGAGCCACCCATGCAGCAAACCATTTCAGGAGCCGGTGTATTCTCGCTGTGACGGAGAGTGTCTTCCTCTTCCTCACTCTCACGCCGATCTGTCCTCCTCCTCCCCCTCTCCCTACTCCGCTCTCTGCTAAGCTGCACAGTCAGCGAGAGACCTCGTACTACATCGACGGCATATCAACATTGTGAAACTGCCACACACAATAGAGCGAAGGACATCTTGCAGCAGCACACCACGTGTAACCGACAGACACAGCCATGCAACAATATTATGATGTGCCATACACATACTACAGCTCCCAAACTATTGCAGGTACAACTGAAGACAACGATACACAGTTGTGCAAAGTTACTTTAGTTTCGTGACATGCCCAACTGTCTACACGTAAGAGTTAGCTAATATATTATCTGTGAGTTATGTACGTTACATGAAATACCTGGCTGTTTGTTTGGTTGAGTGCTCTCCTGGGCCACTGTACCCTCTCCTGCAGAGCGCGTGGACGGTGCTGTCTGCGGTCGGAGGTCAGAGGTCAGCTGGGCCAGCTTCCTGCCTCACTCAGTTCTCGTATCCTCGCGGCGTGCATCTTCAGAGGAGCGGCCTGGACTGAGAGAGAGCCAACATCGGTGCCTCCACAGCATGTCGCTGTCGCAGCTCATCTCTCTCAGGCAGCGTAGGACCTCTGGCCTCTCGCTGGCACACACCTCGGCTCGTACAGCCTCCAGCTCTCGAACCTCATCCTCCCTCTGTCTCAACTCGGCCTCCAGTGTCCTCTGTCTATCCCCGGCCTCGGCCTCGACTCGACGCAGCTGTCCCTCCAGGGCCACCTGTAGCCCGGCCAGTCTCTTGTTCTCCTGGTGCATAGCCTCCTCTCGTGGTACGGCTCAGCACAGTTCTCATGGGCTGCCTGCAGCTCCTCCTGTAGCTGGAGGACCTGAAGAGTCCAACATCTGAACCGCAGTGGCACTGAGTCTGACAGAGTTGACTCAGAGTTGTTGCTGGGCCTGCTTCTGACCCTTGCTCTCTCAACTGCGACCCGGGCTCCCATGTCGCCCTGATTGCTGCATGGCTGTGAGGGTTTCCTGAGCTGCCGATAGCTGTTGCCTCAGGCTCTCTGCTTCCATTCTCAAGCTCTCTGCCTCAGTCTTGGTCTCCTCAGTCTCACTCACCACTCTCTGCAGTTAACAAGTACATCTCTACTTAATGTTGAGAAATCTTTATGAACTACTTGCAAGCAGTTCAAAGCTACTCGTAGAGCGGACCACATGTCTATGATAAGGACTACCAGTAGCTGAATGAAATAAGAAGTGCAGTGACTGAATGCGCCTACTAAAGCACAAGACTAAAGGAGACTAAACAGGTCTAGATCTTACGTGCAACACTCTTCACATACGTCCTTGCAAGATGTTCATCAGAACATAATCTGCATACGTGGTATACAACCCTCATATCATTATGCAGTACATATCAGCTAGAAGAAAGACCAAAAGAGGGTGTGGTATAATAGTGTGATGAACCTGGAGGTTGTCTTGGGCAGTGGTCACCTGCTGCAGAGTGTCAGTCAACCTCTCCTCTCTAAGTCTGACCTCTCTCTCCAACTCTGACACTCTCTGCCTCAGAGACTCCTATACAATCACACAATGGCTCAAAACAGCACTAACAGCTGCTGTAGGCAGTACTGCAGTAAAAGAGGGTGGGCCTGCCTGACTATTGTTATGGTCCCACCCACCTTTGACACTTCTCAGTTAACTAGATTCATACTTCTTGAATTCTGTGAATACACAGCTCACATGCGAAGACTGATGATAGAGCCTTGTGCCAATAATTATGTGGTTCAGTGCAAACATGCAAACACATTTAGGTGCACCTATTTGCTTCAATGTAATATGAAATATGAGCAGTATATTATGCCACATATGTATGTACCTGAGATAAGGCGGCTTCATTCCTCTCTGCAGTGGAGATAACCAACTTACGATGGTAATCAGCAGCCTGAAATACAAGTATAAAAGTTCAACTTAATACCGCCAAAAAGAATGGGATTCACAAATGTTGGTTAAAATATCAGAGTGTAGAGTAGAGTAGGTAGGGTAGAGGCGTTGACGTTTATGTGACTCATACTGTAAGATGTAAGAGATCTTGGTGTTCTTAGCACACTAAACATTATGAGCGAGCCTATTTACCTCGGCAGCTACAGTGATGTAGCGCTGTAGCAGTGCACTCACGACATCATGTAGGTGTGAAAGTCCTTCTACATAATGACAATGGGAAACAGTGCACAACAAACAGATTGTGATTAGAAAGAGGGGATTAATAGTGGAGCTCCTTTAATCTGGATACCAATGAAAATGTCTATTTACCATCTCCATATAGTGCACACGGTTTCTCTGACTGCCACCCAACCTTAACCAACCCAAGCTACTCTCCTTCAGTGGAGGTTACAAAGGAGAAGCAGCCTATAACTAGCAAGGTGTTTGCAGGCTTAAACGTGTCAATATTGTAAGAGAGGTGTCCTTATTCTAGGGGTGTCCATAATAGACGGGATATATATCTTGATTAGAATGGAGGGGCATACAAGTGGAGTTGCTCCACCAATGCAAGTGTATTACTAGCGAGGTGTCCTTTTCTGAGGATTAAAACAAATTTTTTCGGGAAAGAAGGTGTCCATAGAAGAGGTATCTTATTTGAGGGGTGTCCTTATTAGAGAGGGTACGCACACCTTGAACCGATGGTAGGTGAGAGAGGTTGAGTGGGAGAAGGGACTGGTCCAGAGCTGACACACTCATGAGGTCAGTCTGGAGGGCCAGGGAGGAGGAGGGAGGAGGATGGTGGGTGGAGTGGTGAGTGGTATCCAGGAATGACACAGACAACATCCCCAACTGAGACAGGTCATAACTAAGACCTGGAACCTGGACACATACACATACATAATGACAGGGGTAAACCTACCAGAACACCCAAACATCAACAAGGCTGCAAGGCAAAAAGCAAAGCAATTCAACTACACCCAGGAACACTCCTCCCTTTTTTCATTGAACCAGATCAATCAGATGCAGACAGTGGTAGTATCAGGCTGATAGAGCGATTTATAACCTGAGAGTGGTCCTGGAGAGAGACGGCAGTGTCATCCAGAGGGAGGATGGTGAGGTTGGGAGGCTGGTGAGGTTGGTGACCTGCTGGTGTCTGGGTCTCATCTGAGTCTTCCACCATTGGAGTCACCACCAGCGTGGCTACAGAGAGGTGTCATTACATTATTCACTGGCTAGGAAAAAGTTGTAATTGTATGTGCACACAGGGAACTATACACAAATAAGATCCTTAGGTAGTGTATACAGGATCCCTGAGTAGAGAGTTTAGTATGTTGATACACAATTACGATATTGGTGGTATCTTAGGTACACACACGAAGGTCAGATGTACACCCTTGTTGCTTAGCATTCAAAAACCTCACCTTCACTGTTGGCCACACTGGCTTGCTGACTGGCCAGTCCACTGTCATCACTGGGAGTCTGTGGTCGTGTGTGTGTGTGTGTGTGTGTGTGTGTGTGTGTGTGGACATGAAGCAGAGTTTATATGTAATCTGTGTACAGAATGTGGAAGCCACCCAAAACACACTGATTACATCTATACTATACATATGCAACTTTCCTATAAATAGACACAAAGACACAAACCTGCAGTGATTACAGCGCATAGTCCTAGTACAGAGGCAGACCTCAAACAACCATGCTACATAAGGCACAGTATTCTCTCACTCAGCATGTACGCAACTCACAGTTGCCAGTTTTTATTTTATGACAAAAAATACAGAGACACTTAGCATGTAGTTTGCTGGAAAGAGGAAACATACTAAAGTGAAACCACTGTAAATAAAATGATGCGTTGATGTCGGCACAAAAAATACATTTGGGAAAACAAGTAAGTAAATGTCCAAGAGTTTTTAACAAACACAGGATACAGAGGATACTGAAATATACAACTCCGAGGTAAAAGGAAGAAGCAGCTACAGATAGCAACGCGGAGAAGGAAAGGAGTCGTCTGTTGGACAATGGCAGTTAGTGCTACTGACAATGACATCAGTGCTGTGGGCACACACACTCGGTCAGTCCCAGGAATCAGAGACAGTAGTTCTCGTGTTAGACTCACTCACAGACGGAGGAGAAGGTGGCCGTTTCGTAGCTCCGGCTCTAGCAACACCATCATAATCCTGGCCTGGATGTTTATCATGTGTTGCTCTAAGGAACTCACCGACTTTTATTCACGTTCCGGGAAGCAAACAAGTTCGATTCGGTCAGCTCGCTTCATCTTATACTATGCCATGTTTTAAATTTCATGTCCAATAGTTAGTATAGGAACAGCAAACACTAAACTAGTAATGCAATGAGTGACCAGCAGATTATGTGCTTAGACGTATTTAGTCAACATATCGGTAAAGATGCAGAGATTTGAGTGGAAATACACAAAAACACACAGGCACATACAGACTGTTATGAAGCCTAGAGTGACACTTTGCACACCAACGTACATGGTAGCTACCATAATAATACCTGACTACATTAGTGGGTCATCCGCTCTTTATACTGGAATTGATAATATTATTACTAGTGGAAACGTTAAACATTGTTGGCGAGCGGGAGCGACCCAACTTGGGATTTGCCCGCGATGTTCGGCCTGATATCGATCGCTGCCTAGCCTACTGCCATGCCAGCTGCCTGGTGGACAACGACAGACGAGCTGAAAGCGTAAGGTAAGGACCGTTCTGCTCACCTGCTCACCGTTCTGGCATATGCATGTAACGGCGACAGGTACATGTAGCTATTTCTTGTTCACGAAAGGAAAGCTCTGCGCTGACGGCACGTTATGCAGCCCGAGCATCGCGGACAAATCCCAAGTTGGGTCTCTCCCGCTCGCCAACAATGTTCAACATTTCTAGTATTTGCAAATTTGCATAGGCTTACGTCGACCGGGTGCGCTCACTCTGTTTACCTTCGAGGCACAAGAAGTCACAACGGAGGGTGTGTATCGACTCTCTCGCATGCTATCTACTACTGCAGCCAGACTCTCCACGAGCTACCAGCGGCAAACCACGAGTAAACAAGGGGTGGTCACTCCCGTAGACACAGTAGTTAGAGCTACGACCGGGGTCACAATCAGGTAACAAGGACTCGGGCGATTTTGCTCACCGGAGCCAACCTAGTCGTTCGTTCGAGCGGAATTTTCTATATATAATATAAACATTTATACACGACCGTATGTCGTGTAGGTGCGCATGCGCGGCTTTGTACACGCTTCTTTTTATCCGAAACTATTTCCAAATTTTTACACATTTTCACACACGCTGCCTCGCAATATGCACCGATCGATCTAGCCAGCTAGAGAACTCTCCTCCATTCGACGGCATGCGCTGCAACCTTCGGTGACTGACCGAGGCTGTATATACCTCTTCCCAATCTTCATGGTTCCAAGCTGCAACTTGCAAATACGCTAGGATTGCTCGTGCACATACAATGGCAGCTGCCTGGTGGACCACGACTGACGAACTGAAAGCGTAAGGTAAGTATGTACCGTTCTGCCCATGTACAATATGCCTGTAACGGCGACAGGTATGTAGATCTGTCCTGCTTCATGAAAGGAAAGCTGTGCGCTGACGGCACGCATGCAGCCCGAACATTGCAGGCAAGTCCCAAGTTGGGTCGCTCCCGCTCGCCAACAATGTTCAACATTTCCACTAGTTTACGGCCTGGTCACGGGTCACCGAGCTTGAAACTTCGGCACCTGCCACGATTTTCCCTCTCCCAGGCGATACCACCCATTCACGTTTGCGCATGCGCTTGAATCGCTTTTATGAACGCGCCATCTTGAAGCGGAATGATGGAAGGTCGTGAATTAACCCTCGGCGCGCATGCGCAGTGACGGTTACAGTAGTTGGTTTGTCTGTCTGTGTGTCCACGCTTCTTCTGGCACTACAGGCTACCTATTAGCAATACCAGCGGCTTCAGAACTATGCGAGCCTGAAAATTAAAACGACTATTTTCCTGAAACTACTGTGTTCGAGAGATATGCCATGAAAACAAGGGAAAAATCCAATATGCATAATCACACTGGGCGTACTGCGACCTGATCCGCTCGTTCTGTGTACCTTGGTGGCATGTATCGACTCCCGCATGCGCCGTGTCAGACTCTCCGCGAGCTAAACCCCGAGTAAACGCATACTAAGTAATAGTCCAGCCCAACAGCGGTAGACTATTGCGTATGCGCAGCTCGCCGAGGGTTTGCACTTCAGTGCTTTTCATTTGATACAGTGCTGCTGTGCCAGAAAGGGCGTCACAGACAGAAGCACAAACCAAGTACTGCAACCCTCGCAGTGCTGCCCCCGGTGTAGTTGACTTGTTTGCATTACCTTGCCTTTCTCCCTCGTTTCCAAGTTGTTGAGACATGCAGCCCGAGGGTAAATAAGTACTTTTTGCAAGATCTGTATCAGGATTGAACTTTATACAACAGTGTAGGGAGGAAGAGATTAAGAAACGTGTGCAGCATGCACTTGTTTAAAGTTTCTTACATCATCTTCGCTTGATCTATTGAAAGTGAAGGATGTGCTTACTAAACGTGAACTCATATTATGAAATCCTTAGTTCTCGGAAATAGAATGCATATACTTGGTTAATATACAACTGTTAGTTGTAATAACAGAGAAGGGACGCACATCACAAACATCGAAACCAAGAGATTAGTGAAACTCTAGCAGTATAAAAGCATGTAGTAGGAGTTGTCAATGTCACAACTGAGCCTCAGAATATTTAGAACTGCAGAGAAGATTGCAAACTGTACTCTGCAAGGCAGTTGCCACTCAATCATAATCCCCAAAATGCCATCAACTTGAATGTCACTTGATTGTTGTGTACCAATAGAATAATGGCGACTTGTGTTGGAGAGAAGGAAGGAATCAGCATGAGAGAATCGTGTTCTGGTGACGATGTCACAGTAACGGAGTCACCTCCAGGAGTCCAGGAGAGCAACATATGCAGAGTCAGACACACCAGCAGACGGAGGAAGTGGAGACATCGTAGCATTGGTTCACGCAGCCTCTTGCTCATTCTGGCATGGGAGTTTATCATTTGTTGCTCACTAGGCTTCACCCTCAATGCAATGAAGCAATACAAGTCAAATTTGAGTCCAGAGAAGAAGCAAAATCCAGCCTTTGTGTGGCTGGTAGAGCCCAAATATGCCCTAGTCATTTCCAGTGTTTCTTTCATCTCAATTCCAATAGCAAGTCTTCTAGCAGAAGTCGTCATTGGTCGATACAAACTTGTAAGCTACACTCTGAAAGGGATTTGGTTGCTCTCCATTGTTGGTAATGTTTTAACACTATGTGGAAAGACTATACAAGACAGTATGCAATACAATATCCACCTCATAATTGTGCTGCTACAATATATGCTCCTGGGTGCGCACTTATCTGGTGCTATTCCACTAGGAATAGACCAGATTTCAAGCGGATCTGATGCTAACATTTCTGCCTTCATATTATGGCTAGTCTGGACATTTTTTAGTAGCCCTGCTGTTCCTTCTATTGTAGCATCAGTACTTTATAATTGTACACATTGTGAAGTCAGTATGGTGATGTCAGTGTTATCACTACTGCCAGTCCTACTGCTCTCTGTGGGACTCATTTTGGACTTTCATTTCCACCACAAACTGGTGAAAGAGCCAGTGACTCTCAATCCAGTGAGTCTTATTTTCAAAGTCTTGAAATATGCAGCAAAGCACAAGTATCCAGTTCAGAGAAGTGCCTTCACATACTGTGAAAATGAACGGCCAACAAGACTGGACTATGGCAAGTCAATGGTGGACCTTTCACCACAGAGCAAGTGGAGGATGTTAAGACCTTCTGGAGAGTCCTGGTTGTCATTGTCGTTATTGGAATATCTGCAGTAACATTTATGGCTCAGTATGAATCACAACCGGCCATGGAAGAAAGCATTGGTTTATTACACTTCAAAGAAAATTCCGTTCCTAGTGTTGCACACCAACCACTAATATATATGTCCAGCATCATGGTCACTATTCCACTGTATGAGCTACTCATCTACCCATGTCTGAGGAACAGAGGACCAAGCATCCTCCAGTCTGCTGGAATTGGAGCTGCAGCTCTCATTGCTTCTTCATTGTATGGTGTGGTGACAGAGGCGATTCTGTTCGATGGTAATACTGGGTGTATGTTTGTACAAAACAGCCATAGTGAAATGGGAATTTTCATTAACATTCCCTTCAAATTGATCCTGGCATTCACAATAGTAGTGCTACTAAAAACAGGCACTGAGTTTGTATGTGCACAGGCACCATACAATATGAAGGGCTTTCTGATAGGACTTTTCTTCACCACAATGATTTTCTTCATAGACCTTGGAACACTCCTATTTTTGGTATGGAGCAACAAATGGTTTCCAATACTCCACTCCAGTACATGTGGTATCTGGTTCTACCTGAGCACACTAGTATTGGCAGTGGTGTCATCTGCTCTACTGGGCTTGGTCATACGATGGTACAAGGCAAGAGAGAGAGATGAAATCACAAGATATCAGGATTTAGTGGAGGAAGTATACCACAAGTACCAGGAACAAGCAGCACAAGAATGAAAAACAATTAGCCGCAATATAAACATTTGTGATTAAAAAAAACTTTTCTATGGTGTTGTACACATACTAGTGTGACTATTTTCAGCCAGTTCCATAATCAAAAATTTAAAATGTGTTTTCTGACAACAATTATCACGCTGTGTGTAATCAGGCAGTGAGACGAGATAGAGATGGGATTTACAAAACATGGTTTACAAACAGGTTGATACCCCCAATTCTGTTGCCTTGGTGAAGTATGAGACAATCTGTACAAGATACGTAGGTGACATTTTGTGGTGCAACCACTGCCATATTGAGAGTGGCACAACAGGCAACAATATAGGGATTGTGTAATGGGCTGGGAGGTACCAGGTGCCTGCCTTCATAGGCCTCCTATTTTTGGTATGGAGCAACAAATGGTTTACAGTACTCCACACCAGTACATGTGGTATCTGGTTCTACCTGAGCACACTAGTATTGGCAGTGGTGTCATCTGCTCTACTGGGCTTGGTCATACGATGGTACAAGGCAAGAGAGAGAGATGAAATCACAAGATCTCAAGATTTACTGGAGGAAATATACCACAAATATCACGAACAAACAGCACGCCAAGATTAAAGAAAGACCAAGTAGCCATGGTAAACAACAAGATGAGCCAGTACAACATCATGCACATCTTTAAGAAGTTCATGCTGTAGTAAAAATTCTGTAAGTGTAAATGAATGTACATATGTGTGACCGTTATATGCAATTCTAATACCATACGTACTATAGACTTTTACAGGGCTTGCGTTGTGCACATGTGTTACTGACCAACCTATTAAGGAGTACCCCTTCTACAAGAAAATTTGACTGAAATGCTATAGATGTACCTTTACTAAGGCAATGCAGTGCTTCACCTTACCTTGTCAAAATCAGTTTTGAACAAGTTTACTATAGGGAGCATGGATGTTCAAGAGACTGCATCAAAAAACATCTTTTTCAGACCAGTGATAACAGTTTCAAGTAAGGGACTGAGTAGATCAGTGCTTCTCAACACAAGGAGTACACCCAGGTGCAAAAGTAGAAGTATACTATACAGTATTTATAGCTAGAAAAACAACTTTAACCCTCTTAACCGTGAAAAGTATTGAAGCGCAAACCCTCGGTGCACTAGAAACACGCGTGTGTAAGTAAGTATATGCATACGTGGTACCTCTAACTGATGGGCTACGTACATTTGAAAGCTCGCCGAGTCTTGTCACGGGCTAGCTACACTACTAGATAGCATACGCGGGAGTAATAGTCGCCCTGCATTGCTTTCTTGTGCGCAAGCAAGCAGATCTGGTTGAGGTATATATACAATGTAAGCCTGTGCATATTGGCTCTTGTTTTCACACCAGAACTCTCGAACGCAGTATTACGAAATTCGCCAAATCAAGCCAGTGTAGCGCTGTATCTTTTGGTATCGTGCTTGTTGTATCTTTGGGCGTGGTGGCAGAACAGACAGACAGACACTTACAAACCAAGTACTGTAACCCTCGCTGCACATGCGCACCAAAGGGTTTTAATGAAACATTTTATGCGTAAAACAGGAGTGGTACAAATAGTGCTCAAAGTGTTCCACGAGTTACATCATAAATCCAATACCAACGAGTGAAATTTACTACTTCAGTACACTGCAGTGCATTTGTGTACATGGCTGTAAACAGCTTACGCACTATATATGTAAGTGTAACACACTTGGAAAGTTTTGCTACACACATATAACAGCTAGTAAGCTACGTACGTAGAAGACAAAGTGCACACCAGAGAACAACAGAACTAATGATGATAAAGGAACAGTACTACTGCACAGGTGCCAAATGCTCAGCATTATTATTAGTGAGGGTTACAGTACTTTGTTCGTAAGCTGTCTGTCCGTTTGTCTGTATGTTCCCATGTTTTATGCGACTACGCGCAACGAGATAACAAAACAGCGATACCAACGGGTTCATCGCTACACTGGCTTCATTTTTTTAAAAGGCAATTTTCATATAACTACTGCGTTCAAAAGTTATGCCGCGAAAAGTAAGTGAACAGGCCAATATGTAAATTAGCACGGGCTTACCTCTCTGTGCATCTTGAAGGCACAATAAGTAACAACAAAGGACATGTATCGACTCCCGCATACTATCTACTGCTGTAGCTAGTCTGTGTCAGACTCTCCGCGAGCTACTAGCGGGAGACCACGAGCACGCGCATACTAAAAGCCCAGCCCATCAATTAGTGGTACCGCAGTTAACCGAGGAGGTTTGCACTATAGTGCTTTTCATAATAAGTAGGGAAATGGACCAATCAAAACTGTTTCCCAAAGTGTAGCTAAACCAACACTTACTGGGGATTTTCTGACAGTACTACGCACACTTAGCTCATCACGAACACATACATGTAGATGACGACCAAAAGGCAAACATAAGCACTTTTCACCTTTTCCCAAAGTGTACATAGCTAACCCACTCGGCAAGTGATATTTCACACATACACACATGCACATAAATATAGATGACGAAAACAAGTTCAAGGAAGAGAAATGAACGAAGTGAGGACCGTATGCCGCCCATACGGCTAGAAGCTTATTGATTTTTAACAGAAAATGCTACATTAGCTTACGTTGTCATCTAAATTATGCAATTTGTGCTTAGCTATAAAAGTTCGCAGATCATTTGCACCAATCCTTATTCATTTAAGATCAATCAATGGCAACCATTGCTGCCAGTGCAGAGGAAAGTATCATCACCCTAAGAGACTCATGTGGTGTTATTGACAAGTCACTAACAGAATCAGCCCCAGGAGGCCAGGAGAGGTACAGATGTCAAATCAGACATGCTACAAGGCGGAGGAGAAAGTGGGCCATTTCGCAGCATTGGTTCAAGCAGTATCCTCCTCATAATCACCTGGCAGTTTATGATTGAGTGCTCGCTGAACATCACCGTAAACAGAATGCAGTATATCATTGAGGAGCAGAAAAAGGCAGCTCAATGGTTAACAAGTGAAACTTTCATTGGTATCACGACACTTTCTATTTCATATCCAATTGCTAGTCTCCTAGCAGAGGTGGTAATGAGTCGATACAAACTTCTCAGTTACTGTCTAAAGTTAATGTGGATGTTCTATATTGCTGGTTCTGTCATCTCAGTGTGCGAACAGAGCTTACCTATAGCAAAACCTATGCTACTGATCATCCAGATAATTCTGGTCGTACTACCACAAAATATCCTTTATGGAGTATTCATTATCACTGCAGTTCCACTGGCAATGGACCAGATTACTGGTGGGTCAAATGCTAACATTTCAGCATTCATACAATGGGGTGGTTGGGCATATTTCAGTGGGATAGCTGTTTCTAATATGATAGGATCAGTATTCTATAACCGCATCAATTTTAACCCAAGTCAAGTCAGTATGGTGATGTCACTGCTGCCAGTCCTACTGCTCTCTGTGGGACTCATTTTGGACTTTCATTTCCACCACAAACTGGTGAAAGAGCCAGTGACTGTCAAT